TTACCGTGAATGCGCTGTATGTTTTGCTTATTTATTTTGATTACTCCAAACTCCTCTACTAGCAATTCTTTTTGATTCACTCTTGTATCCCAGCACCCTGAAGAGCGGCTGGCACAAAATAGGCTCTCACAAAATGTTAGATGAATGAATGAAGGTAATCAGTGATAATAAGAAGAGCTACCACTTAGGTAGAGAAGTAAGTAAAAATTAAATAAGTACTTTGTACATGTTAATGCATCATAGATGTTAATTATTTAAATTAACATTGTACACCCATGTGTATCTGTAGAAGTAATTTTTAGGTGGAAACTGCAGGAAGAGAAGGAGAAATTCTAATTAAAAGGGATGGTAGGTCTGTGATAAACCATAATGGAAAAGAATGTACATATATGTATGACTGAATCACTGTGCTGTACATCAGAAATTAACACAACATTGTAAATCAAATATACTTGAATAAAATAAATTAAAAAAAAATACCCAAAACCTTGGAGAAAAAATTAAAGGATACCCTTTAATCTTTAAAAAAAAAAAAAAAAAAAAAGGATGGTAGAGAGGTACATGGTTTTGCAAGTTAGCCTCAGGCCAGGAAGAGACAGCTGATGGAAACACCCTGGAATCTGGCCCAGATTATCAGCTCCCAGGCCTGCCTAGCGGGTGAGGGCATGAGGAAGGAAGGGGTTGGGAGGCAGGCCTGGACATGTGTGAGTGGGGTCAGGAGGTTGGTATGCGGTCTTCTGGATGCTTCAGGGTGAGACCTCTAGGCTCACAGACTGTCGTGTGCTGATGTCCATCTCGAGTATCTCTAATGGTTCTCAGTTTCTAGGTCAAGAGTCAGGGCTTGCAGTATTTGTCTGTCTCTAGAGCTAGATGTGCACACCCTAAAGTAAGCAAACGGCTTTGAGCCCAGGGAAAGGGTTGCCACGTATGTTCATATACTCTTTACTAGAGGGCTTTGCTATGAAAATAGAAATCCTCATGGTGGGTAACAGCACAAGAATGTCTCTATTATGCTGCTTTGTGCCTAACACACAGTGATGCTACATGTTTCTTCATGGCTTGGAGTGAAAATCAATTCACCGGCATCTAGATGGTCATTATCAGTTACAAAACATATTTTAATGTAAATCTGCAGTTTAAAAGAGGCACTCTAATTCTTGAAGCTACAAAGGATATATTAATTCTCAAAAGTCTTTGTATCCAGACATAGCCATTTCATTAGCTGATCTAGGCACAGTCCAGGAATAAAATTCTTTTGTAAATCATATTACCTAAGGATTTTTTTTTATATATACATTTATTTATTTATTTAGTTTTGGTTGAGTTGGGCCTTCCTTGCTGCACACAGGATTTCTCTAGTTGCGGTGAGCGGGGGCTACTCTTCGTTGCGGTGCGCGGGCTTCTCATCGCTCAGTAGTTGTGGCACACGGGCTTAGCTGCTCCGCGGCATGTGGGATCTTCCCAGACCAGGGCTTGAACCTGTGTCGCCTGCATTGGCAGGCCGATTCTCAACCACTGCGCCACCAGGGAAGCCCACAACTAAGGGTTTTATAACACAAAGTTGATTTTCATTGATTTTTTCCTACACTTCACTAATTGACTTCCTTCACTCCCATTAAACAGTCCTGGGGACAGAGGCAAAGAGGCGATTTCTCCCACTGACAATGAACACAACTCAGGGAGATGCAGAGCAAGATAATGTATTCTGTAACCATGTGTTGTCATATAATACTTTCTAAACCTTTGTCCGTTTCAAAAGGAAACAGTGGCAATCTCTATAATACCTGCCTCAGCTTTTCTTTACAATTTATAATTGGTTTCCCACATGGAGTTTAAACTTTGCTTGCTACATTGGTGCAGATGTGGCCAAGGACTTTTGATCTGTGAAGTTCATTAAAGTACTTGATCTCACTGTTTTTTTAAAATGGTGACCTCGGGCTCTATATGCTAGAGTGGGGAATATATGTGTAGATGTATGCATATATATTCATGTATAAATATGCACAGTTGCTATGTATGCACATATCACGAGAAAAAATAAATAGAAAATGAGAGATCCTGAAAGAAAAGAAGTGAGAAAGGTATGAGAAGGGAAGGGAAGGGAATTAGCATTCATTAAGCTCCTACTATGAACCAGACACCCAGGAAAGAAGGCGATGGGGAGAGCAAAGATGGAGGGATGCAATTATCTGGATGTTAAAGAGTGAACTTGTAAAAATCTCCTTCCCTAAAGGAGACTGCTGTAAAAATGGATGCTGGCAGCCCATCAGGGAGTGCTTGTCAAGCCATTCAGAGGAGAACAGAAGGCTGTGGGGCACTGATTTTGGCTTTGTCTCCCCTAGGTGCTGGGCTGCTGTCTCGCCATGAGATGAGTTATCTTTGAAGTTCTGCTGAGTGGTCTAGATAGCGTGACTTAAAAGTGCAAGTCTCTAAACAGAGTTCAGCCTTTCAGAATACAAATGCTCAGAGAACCATATGAGGTCAGGAAAAACCAGCCCAAGATATTTCCCTTTAAGTTCTAGAGAATGCTAGGAGTCTCCATAATTAAAAGGATCCTAGGAGACTATGTATCGGAAGTTTCTAGGTACTGGTATCAGTTTTTTGGTTCATTTTTTAAAATTGGGGCTCCTTAAAATGTCTGTAATTGCATCTTCTGTGTCCTCTGATGGGCAGAGACAAGGGTGACCTTGCAGAGTCCCTGCTGGGTAGGTAGGAGATGGGCTCAGGTCCAGCTGAGCTTGGGACATGACAAAGAGAGAAGGATGAAAACAATAGCCATTTTACAGAGCTTTAAGGTAAGTCTTCGAAAACTGTTTAGGAATGCCTAGCCAATCACAGGTTTGCTTAGATGTCTTTTTGGGTTTTTTCCACTCCCACTGCCCCAACATCAGATGTTCTCAGCATCACTGGGCTTATTATAGGGGCCTATCTACCTCCATTTGCATTTTGGGATAGATTGAAATAATTTGGTTCTATTCTTCATAATTTTCTATATCCATGTTCCTTGTCATGTAACTTTACAGTGCTCTCCCACTGTGAGCTAGTGGCCTGCTCAGCCCCTTGACCCTGGGCTCAGCCATGTGATTTTCTTTACCTATAGGATGTTTAGGAAATGTGATGCAAGCAGCAGCTTGAAATGAACTGGCACACGGGGGTTTGTTCTTCTGCCAGGAGAAGAATGACAGACACGGGGCACTGGTTAAGGTGCTCCAGACAAGCCCACTCTAGCATAGAGCCCCGCCAAACCCACAGACAGTGAACCATCCTAGTTGAGACAAGTAGAGCCACCCAGATCAACCCAGATCAAAAGAGCTAAGCCCTGCAGATGCACGATAAATAAGTGTTTATTGTTAAATGCCACTGGGGTTGCTTGTTATACAGCACAAGCTAGTTGATACAAGTGCCATTTGATCCGTGCTCTTCTTGTCTGTCAGTTGATATTTCTAAAATGGAACTTCAATTATCCGAAAATTACTCTACCTAAGACACTTCAATGACTTCCTGTTATGGGCTGAGTGATGTCATCCTAAATTCACATGTTGAATTCCTAACCCCCAGTACCTCAGGATCTGACCTTATTTGGAAATAGGGTCCTTGAAAATGTAATTAGTTAAGTTGAGATGAGGTCATACTGGAGTATGGTGGGTCCCTATTCTAGTATCGTTGGTATCCTTATAAAAAGGGTAAATTTAGAGGCAGACATGCTCACAAGGAGAATGCCATGTGAACATGAAGGCAGAGATTAGGATAATGTGTCTACAAGCCAAAGAACACCAAAGATTGTCAGAAAACCACCAGAAGGTAAAAACAAGGAATAGAACAGATTCTCCCTCAGAACCCTCAGAAGGAACTAATCCTACCTATACCTTGATCTCAGACTTCTACCATCTAGAAGTGTAAGACAATAAATTTCTGTTGTTAGAGCCACTCCCCCATTACCTTTAGGTTAAAGTCTAAACTTCTTCACAAGGTATGAAAGTCCTTCAATAAGCTGGTCTCTGGCTGTGTGTGCAGTCTCATTGCATACTATATTCCACTAACTTCAGCCTTACCCCATTCACTAGCCACATAGAACTATTTAAAGTGCTCCAGTAAACTGCTTCAGAGCTTTTGTCCATGCTACAACCTTGGCTTCGAATGCCCTTCCTGCTACCTTCTCATCCCCCGCTGGATCCCACATCTTTACCTAATTAACTTCTATTTGTATTTCAAGCTCCAGATTGGGCTATCATCTCTGGAAACTTCCTCTTCACCTTCCCAGGCCTAACCATGGGAGGAGGCCCTATTGAATTCTCCCCAAACAACCTATATAGACATTTCTATCTCAGTACTTATCACACTGTGGATAATTAATTGCTCACTGCACATCTTTATCCTCCTCAACAGACTTGATAATGAACCACTTAAAGGCAGGTTCATATATTATCTGCCCTTTTATTCCTTGTACCAAGCACAGTGCTTGGCACACAGTGGTGATGCAGCAAATGTTTGTGGAAGGAATCTGTGAGTGTTTATGCGCCAATATCAAAACAGATGTGTTCCTGGCATATGGGAGATACATTCTGCTTGTGTGACAACTGGCAGTGGAGTTTACTTGAAAGCAAAAGCACCCAATTAAAGACCAAACATTACTTCCTTATCCTTCTTCATTTCCTTCTTTCTATAAAACTACCCAATCTCACATGCTTTATAATGCTTTGACATGTAAGTGACTGTGAATTATTACTGACGGTGGGCCTTTCATCTTCAAGACTGACAGTCTACGTTCCACATTTCTCAGGAGGGAGAGACTATTATAACTATATTTTTGCTTACCAAGAGAATTGTTAATAGTTATCCTGAAGAAAAAAAAAATCTATAAATATCCAACCTATAACGAAGCCTTCAGCTTACTGCCTTCCTTTACTAATGAAATTCTTTCCAAGTGCCCGGCCAGAAATTGCCACATAACAATTACACTGAGAAAAGAGACAAAGCCTGTAGTGAGTTTTTTCTTTTACCTGTTTAGTCCTCATTTTGGAATCCAACGACAGATTGTTGTAGGTATAATGTGCCTGTGTGACTCCACAGAAGAGAACAGCAACTATCCCTGAAATTTAAAAACATACCAGTCAAAATCAATTTTCTTTCCCATCTAAGTCAAAGGGGTAGGGCTATCCCAGCTGGAAAACAGACTTGGCATCAGTAGAGTTAAAATTGCTAATAATTATGGTGATGAAACCTTTGGTAAACCTGGCTGCTTACTTTAAACATGGAACTTAACAGGATTAAAGTTAAAGAAAAGCGTTAAGAAGTAGATTCTTCCTGGGGAATAAATGATTCTCTGGTCATGTGTTAGGAAAGTTATACTTGGAAACCCATGAACAAGACTGTATAGTCAATTCCAGGCCTCTCACAGCTAGTGCCAGCTACTCGGCTGCATTTTATACTAAATGCTGGCATATTTGCTTAGACATTTGCTTTCCACTGTGTACCTTCAGGAGCCTGAGAAGTTCCTATCATTCCATAACTTAGTATTAAAAACCACGAGTCATAAACCTAAGGCATCTACAAGGGTTCAGTTGCCTCTGCCAATACTCCTACTTGCCAAGCCCAGAAAGAGATCCTTGTTTGCCTCTACACCTCCTTGGCAAAGCTGGGGGCTTTGTCTTTCTGCTGCTGGATAATCTCGTGAACACGTCCAAGGCACACACTCCTTGAAGGTAAGCTGGTCTGTTCTTGTGTGCTTCTTATCCACAGTGGGCCCCCAGCTGCTTCTTGGCTGGTTGCAGGATTTATTTCTTAAGCCATCATTATACCCAGTTTTAAATGCTACATGAAGCCACACATACCCTAGATGCTGCCAGGGGACAGAGGAGGAACAACCATGGGACAAATGTGTTATTTGTCCCTGGGCTCTGTTACTCTCTGTGTTATTGCCCCTGAGCTGGGGTGGGGAAGTGGTAGGGGCTGCATGCTACCTTGGATTAAAGATTTGATTAGCTATGGGAAACTGGGCATAGAGGAGGGCTTTGGGAAAAACACAAGATGTAAGTAGTCTTCAACCCAAACCAAGGGGATTGAATTGAATTTTAAACAGCAGACTCTTTCCAACTAAAAACACTCATAAATTAAATGCTGATGATTCTTAAGAGTATAGAGATATGTGAACTGAATGCTGACATTTCAAATGAAATAAAAATTCTGCAGTAAAGAATTTTAAAGAACCAAGCATATTTTTTATATGTACACTGTATGCTTCTATTTACATGTTGGTTATTTTGGGCGTTGGCTTTGGATAAAATATTGCTAAGACATATTTGTCTAATACATTTACATCACTTATTTCCTTTTAATATTATGCTTCAAACTTTTAGGCAAAAGAATAAAAACAACTAGGAAATTGTGCCAAGAAATAATATATGCAGTAAGCATTTATATAGTCGCTTTGGGTAACTTTTCAGTTTTCTAGCCTCTCTTCAGAAATTCAAAGAGAAAACTGCTTATGAAATACTATATTTCTCTCTTCACAGAATTTCTATTAAAAAACAACCAGTACCAGGGAAACTTTGGGGGTACTGAAGTACTTCAAGGACTTCAAGGAACCAGAAGGATTGCCATGCATGTTGTTTTGTCATCAAGTAGTTTTCTTTCTTTCTTTAAAAATGCAATTTATGTACCTCTGCTGATTCAGCAGTCTGTTGGAAGTTTTTCTGGGTGAGGTTTAGCCGACCTCCCACTGTTGTGGAAACGTTTTGACTATATATTGATCTGCAGAGAAGTAGTGAATAAAAAGGGAGGGGCATGTGGGTAGTGCACAAATGCATTCTGAGAACAAAAAGAAGTAACAAAGAATAAAGGATAGGTAAGGGCCGTAAGATTGGCTGAATGCTTATTGTGGGCAAGGAACACACTAGTTTTATTCACATCATCTCATTTATTTCATTGATTTATTATCTCACAACAGGCTTCACACGATTCACCAGCCCTTCCCGCTCTCTTCCCCTTCTCAGTAATAGCATCTCCATTCTTCCTGCCATCCAGGCAAAAAACTCTGGGAAGGGCTTCCCTGGTGGCGCAGTGGTTGGGAGTCCGTCTGCCGATGCAGGGGACGCGGGTTCGTGCCCCGGTCCGGGAAGATCCCACATACCGCGGAGCGGCTGGGCCCGTGAGCCATGGCCGCTGAGCCTGCACGTCCGGAGCCTGTGCTCCGCAACGGGAGAGGCCATGACAGTGAGAGGCCCGTGTACCAAAAAACAAAACAAAACAAAACAAAACACTCTGGCAACACTCTTTACTTCTCCCCTCTCTGTACATCAGCAGTGTTGTTGACTGGTCCTTCAAAATCTACCCGGCACGCCATCACCTCTCAACACCTCCACACTCACACCCTTTTCTAAGTCACCATCATTTTCTGCCCGGATTACAGCAAGAGCTTCCTAATTGCACCTCCGACCCCGTCTCCCTTGTTGACTCTCCACAGTCTACCTTCCACCCAGCAGCGCTAGTGAATCTTTTAAGACAGGTCAGATCATGTCAGTCCTCTGCTCCCAGCTCTGTAATGGAAACACATAACAAACAGGCCCTGTAGGATCTAGTCCTGCCTCCTCCTCCCCTCCCCGCGGCTCCCTGAGCTCCGCTTTTCCCATGCCCCCCCGCCCCCCGCCCCTCACCTCATCACACACCTTCTTCGTCTTCGCTAAGCAGGTTCCACCACAGGGCCCTTGCATGTCTGGTTCCCACTGTTTAGAAAAGTCTTCTCCAGACACCCACATGGCTCCCTCCTTTCCTTAAGATGTTACATTCTCAGACTGGCCTCTGCTATGCACTCTATAAAACTAATCCCTCTCGTCGTTCTCTACTTTCCTACCTTGACCTATTTTTGTAATATTATTTACTGCCACCTAACATTTTATATATTTATAGGTTTATTTTCTGCCTTTCTGCACTGCAGTGGAAAGCTCAGGGAGTGCAGAGTGATTCACTGGTCCCCAGCCATTAGAGCAATGTCAGGCACATGGTAGGCACTCCACATATTTGCTGAATAAATAAATGAACATTCCTATCACCAGGTAACAAGAAACCAAAGTAATTTACTCAAGGTCACCTTGAAAGTGGCAGAGCTAAGATTCAAAATTCCACAGACTCCCTGTACTTTTCTGCCTGTATTAGACCCTCCAGGAATGTTTTAAGGTAATCTTAAGCCATCTAAAAAATATCATTTCTGATGTCCCAGGGAAAGAGTCAGAGATTTGATGATGAAGATTATATACCAGAGTTGGCTGGACATCTCCTTTGAGGATATTTTCTCCAGTAGCTCCATTGGTTTTCCCATTAGAACACTAATAGGCAAAGTTTCTGCTAATACTTTTTGAGTTTTGTCTACAGATATGTCACACAAGCAGCAAACAATGGAGAGTCTGCCTACATGACCAGAGTCTTGGTGTTGTAATTAAAATAAAACAACAAAGCTGATCTGACCCTTAGTATTAGCATACATAATCATAATTCTATAGCTTGGTAATTAATTCACTCACACAAATTAACAGTTGCCAGTTTTCTACCTTACAAAAGTATGTTTTAATTGCCACTATATTTTTACATAACTGTGCCTGCTAGCCCTAGTTGTACCACTGTTATGTGAGGCCCTAGACCACTCTCTTGCATGCTCTGGATCTCAGACTCTCAGTTGTAAAAAGGACGGGGAGGGGCACTAAGTGTTCCTTGTGCCAGGCTGTGAGCTAGTGTCTCAGCCCCAAGCCCACCCTCCTGTGCTGGTCTGTGATCCTGAGGCTGGGGCTCTCCAGAATACATCTTCCTTTGCCTGATGGGCTCTGTCAGTATAGAGCCCCAGGAGGAGAGTAGGACGCAGGAGGGGAGAGAAGGCCTTGCTCCCTCCTGTTTGCCTGCTGGTCCTGTCAGCTGCATCTCAGCAATGGTTCTTCACCACAGCTTTGGCAGTTGGTCCCAGCCTTGTGTTCTTTTTTTGTTTTTTGTTGTTTTCCTTCACTTGCAGACCAGCCTCCTGGGACCCCCTCAGAGAAAGCAGCAGCAGGCAGGCAGTGTCCTCAGAGGTCTGAGTCCCAGCTCCGTGGTTCCTTCTTAGGAGCTTCTAGATTCTCTTCCCTTTGCTCCTCCAGTCCAAGGGGTCACACTTGCTTCTTGCAGTGACTACCTCTGTGTTGCCTCAGTGCCCCTTTTTTACTTTTGCAGCTCTTGCTAAGTATAAAAATGTTTTTAATTATAGTTTTGTGTCTTATTCTCCACTTCTTCTTTCTGTGACTTTCTAGGATTGACATGATTCCATGAAATAATTTTAGGGTCATGGAACAATTATCTATTAAGAGTGTTTGAGGAGTTACAATTTTTTTTCTTTATTTTAAAATTATTTTTTAATCCGAGCAACACTAGAATATAAAAGAAATTAGTTAACATGGAATAAATTGATGATATATTTTACTATCAAATAGTTCAAAAATTCTTTCCCCCTCTAAAAATCAAAACAAAACAAAACAAACAAATTGCATCCTTTGATCAAAATGTTATAAAACTGGAAATTAACAAAAAGCATAGCTACATAAATGTATCCATTAGAGATTTTTAACTGTATTCTTTTCAATAAAATTGGAGTTGAAGATGAAATCAAATTTGAAATTTTAGCTTATGTAGAGATAAATGACAGTAAGTGTATAGTACCTTTCTTATCAAAACCAATGGGATAAAACCAAAGGATTATTCAGAGGAAAGGTTATAGTCTTACTTGCATTCTATTAGAAAAAAAAAAGGGAAATAAATGGACTATTTACCTAAAGAATCTAGACAAAAGACATAAAAATGGAACCAAAGACAGTAGAATTAAAAACTTAATAAATAAAAATGAAAAAATACAGCCAAAGAGAACATTCCTAATAAGCATATGGTGCATGCCTCTCAGGCCTTGGGGTCCCTCAGGTGTCCATCCTCCCCAGGCTGCCGTTCTTTGACCGTGGCTGCAGGTATGTAATGGGTGATGTTGGCCAAGGGCTTCACCCACCTAAGACTCAGTTTTCTCATTTGGATAGGGCCCACCTGTCTCACAGGTCTGTTCTAAGTATAAAGCAATACAATGGA